AAGACACTTTGCTTCTCAGCCAAGAAGCTTTTTAAGTTCTGAATGGAACAATTTATATTCCTTACAGTCCTCTGGTCATTCTCCCTCCCCCTCCCTCTCTCTCTCTCTCTCTCCCTCTGTGTGTGTGTCTCTCTCTCCATCTCCCTCCCTGTCTGTCTCTCCCTCTGTCTCTCTCTCCCTGTGTCTCTCTCTCTCTGTCTCCATCTCTCCCTCTCCCTGTGTGTGTGTGTTTCTCTCTTCATCTCCCTCTCTCTCTCTCTCTCTCTGTGTGTCTATCTCTCCATCTCCTTCCTGTCTCTCCCTCTGTCTCCCTCTGTCTCTCCATCTCCATCTCTGTCTCATCTCTCTCTCTCTCTGTGTCTCTCTCCCTCTCCCTCTCTCGTCTCTCTCCCTCTCTGTGTGTGTGTCTCTCTCTCCATCTCTCTCCCTGTCTCTCCCTTTCTTTCTCTCCCTCTGTCTCTCTCTCTCTGTCTCTCTCTCCGTCTCCATCTCTCCCTCTCCCTGTGTGTGTGTTTCTATCTCTTCATCTCTCTCTCTCTCTCTGTCTCTCTCTCTCTCTCTCTCTCCATCTCCATCTCTCCCTCTCTCTGTGTGTGTGTGTCTCTCTCTCTCTCTCCCTCCCTCTCTCCCTCTCTCTCCATCTCCCTGTCTCGTCTCTCTCTTTCTCTCTCTGTGTGTGTATGCGTCTCTTTCTCCATCTCCTTCCTCTGTCTCTCCCTCTCTCTCCCTCTCCCTCCCTCCCTCTCTGTTTCTGTCTCTCTCTCTCTCTCCATCTCTCCCTCTCTCCCTCTGTGTCTCTATCTCTCCATCTCACTCTCTCTGTCTCGTCTCTCTCTCTCTCTCTCTCTGTATGTGTGTGTCTCTCTCTCTCCATCTCCCTCCCTCTGTCTCTCCCTCTGTCTCTCCCTCTGTCTGTCTCTCTCTCTCTCTCCATCTCCGTCTCCCTCCCTCCCTCCCCCTCTCTCTCTCCCTGTCTGTCTTTGTCTCTCTGTCTCTCTGTCTCCCTTTTCCTCTCTCTGGCTCTCTCTTTCCAATTGTCTGTTCGACCTGTCCTTTTCCGATCTGAAAAAGCACAAACTGGAATAGCCAACGTAACCCAGGGATTAACGAAGAAGCGGCTACGTTCACAAGCCTCCAACCCAACTTTGGAAGTCTCTTCACATTCCCTAAGCAGCCCTCTCCCTCCCTTCGGAATGTTCTTGCTGGGCCCTTCCCTCGGCCCCCCCCGACCCCTCCCAGCCCCAAAGATCAAGCATTCGACTCACAGAAGCCACCACCGCTCTGGAGAAGGCGCCTTCCTCGAGGTCCCCGCTCTGCCCGATTCCTTGGGGCAGGAACACACCTCCCAGCGAAGCCAGCAAGGCCCTGGACCAAGAAGATAAGAAAGCTGTTAGTTCACCCCGAGAAATCTGTTGCTTGTGGCGGGGTGTGTGTGTGTGTGTGTGTTGGAAAATATTCAAACATACCGGGAGAAGTTTGCTATTTGGGGCAGGAGTCTACCTGGGGCAAATCTTCCCTGCCTTTGGCATGCTGAAGTAGAAAAGCCATTTATTTTTTCCAGATAGGGAGAAATACAGCTTGAAACATGAAAGGCACAGATAAAGTTGCCGGCGAGGAAGAGAAATGCAGTTGTTCTTTCCTAGGCTTTCCCCAAAAACACTAAACCAACTCTGAGTCCCGAAAATAACCTCTTGTATTAAATAAATGAATTTAGTGCATTCACATTCAGCCAGTGGCCTGGCAAAGAGTCTTGCGAAGATGTAATTATCAGCTCAGACCTTATCTATCTTGGCAAGCTGCCCAGTAAATATTTCCACACAGCAGTGCTGACAGGGAAGGGCTGAGCACAGATTCTCTAGGTTACACAGACAAATAAATCTTCATGAGGCTGGAACGAATGAACGAATGAGCGAGTGAGTTGTTTCCTGCAAAAGCCGCCTCCCCTTTTGCTCCCCTTTTAATCCCTAGGGGAGGGGCCATTCACCGTCCACCCGTGGCCTTACTCCCACGTCTACCCTTAGTTCGTAATTTTTCCCTTCTTCTGGCAGCTCTGTGCATGCGCACGCTGGGAACCAGCTCCAGCTACTCCCTCGCCTCACTGCTGTCCGAGCCCAAGGCAGCTGATGACTGCCAGACTGCCCTGGCCCCGTCCCTGCCTCCGACACAGAGCCTTTCTCAGCCTCCAAGACCGGCCCAGGTTCCTCTCCAACCTCCTCACTGTCCGACTCGGCTACCAACTCCGCCAGCAGGCCACAACACCAGTCGCAATTTCAGCCCAGGGACTCAGAAATCGCAGAAAATGGACAGGGTCAAAATAAAGACAAACGTGTCTTAAAAAGGGGACTCTTTAAGTTACTCTGCAGGCTCTGATTAAATTGGGGAATTTAAAAACAACAACCACCACCACCTTGGTTCTGAATTGTGCATTTGTGCAGATAAAAAGCTGAATTGTTATGCCGGTTGTGGGCAGAATGTATCCTGCAAATTATTACAGTGCCGTTAAGGCATTGAAAAAGACTCGTGGAATTGGATTTATTAGGAACAAACTGGTAAAAGCTTTTTCCAAGACAGCCTCCCACGTACGTTTTTAAAAAGGAGGTGGGGAGAAAAGTACAAGGAAGGGAAGGAGAAGAAAGACTCGGTAGAAAACCCAGGAAGCCTTCCAGAAAAGATTGGAGGGCCATTTGTTCAGGATGGAATAAGGCCTCCTGTCTTGGGCAAGGGGGTTGGAGTAGATGACCTCCCGGGTCCCTTTCAACCTTACAATTCTAAATGAAGTTACTGGCAAACCAGGAAATTGGTGTGGGGGGGGATCAGCAATGGAGAACTCTTATTGAGACATTCTACCTGTTCAAAAGCCTGTGAAAAACATCCTTTCCTCTTCCATCTTGACAAATGCTCCAGTCCCTCACCTGTGAACTTACATATCTCAGGCACCCACAATCTGGGCTTTATGGTCACAAAGACTTTATGGGTAAAATGGGCTGGAGCCCCCGACTTTATTTTAAATTATTGCACCATGTAGAATCAACATATATCCTGCTCCGGAGTTTGCATGGGATAATTATATTTCCAGACAATCCATTGGAACAAGGAAGAGCACTGTTCTGAGTTTTGTGAGAATTCTGGAGAAAGGAATTCTGGGAAAGCATAGGATCTCACACCTCAGGATACAAGCCCAGCTTATAACCTACCTGCACGTCAAACTAATATATCATTGTGTATTTCACCTTTTTTCTCTCTCTTTTTCTCATGCCCAAGCAAGAATAAGTAACAATGCAGTGGAGGGTTTATTATTGAGTATTCCGCTTAAGGCAACAAAACCTTTATTACACAACAATTATTTTGATGTAATTGGCCGTTGTTTATAAAGGCTATATTTCAGCTCTGGATGTAACATTTAAATCTGATGGTCATGAATAAGGATTATTTCAAATCAGAGTTAACACTGATATAAACCTCTTCCTTTTTCTTCACTTTCAAAGGTTCAACTCCTCTAAACGTTAAATGTGTTCATAGTCTCTCATTCATATCATATAAATCCCCCTGTGTCAAAACAATATACGACTTGGGATTTATAACAATGTAATAACATAGGTTTTCAAGAAAGGTTTAAAATCTTTTCCAGGACGTTGACTCTACCTGTAGGTGGGGGTGAAGGTTTTGTTTTCCCAAGCCACTCGTGGCATGGCTACACCCTGGGAGACCAAAAGGAGTGGAAGCCACAGGCCATCCAGGTGAGACTTGTGAGTTGAAAGGAAAACCATCGGAGTATTAGCCTGCTTGCAGGGGGAAAATAGAGAGATTATTCACTGCTGGAATATTAACACCTAATATTAACAGTCTTTCTTTCCTCTGGATTAGCTATGCCCAACCGTTCTTTGTATGTTTTAGTCTCCAGGTCTTTAATCCATCTTAGTTGCTCATTTCTGCACTTTACCCAAAGTCTCGACATCTTTTTTGCAATGTGGGGATGC